GCGACAAATATCGTCAAGTATCTGGCTCTCCAGGGGGATGACGTTGGGGATGGTGGCGTAGCGAATAGTATGCGGCTTTGGGTAAGATTCGATGTAGCTGAGCCACTCTTCAGTGACGACGAATGTGATGATAACATCGGAAGTTCTTGAAGCGAGAAATTTGCAGAGGTTCATCATGGGGTTCACGTGGCCTCTGGTGGGGAAAGGCACGGCCACCACATGCTTCTTCAAGCACGGTGGAGCTTCCATGGACACACACACACACAGAGAAACTAGTGAAGCTTGGGTTATGAGACAATATATAATATAGATTATAGAATATGGCGTCTCCGGAAGTCAGTGGACACGTTATTACTAGAGTCCTTAATCATCAATTTTCTCAAGATAATTGTCGTTGACCATCGCTCATGTTTTGATACTGATGAGCAAAATTAAATCTACAATAGTCGAAAATATCAATGCTTAGGTCACATATGGATCTGGAATAGACATAGATGACATAATGATGCGAACAGAAAATGCAATGGAAAGAGAAAAAGAACCAATTCAGATCTCAGGGAACATTATTTATAATTTTATACGTATGTTGATATTGGTTTTTTTTTTTTTTTACATTTAAAAAATTTCAGTCAATTTTGTTTCTGGGCAAGAAGCATCTGATTAAAATTTCATTAAACACTTAACCGCCGCTCATTTTAAATGTATCTCGTTTTTTAATTTTATTATACATATTAAAAAATAATCAAACAAAATGTATCATTTTTCTATCCAGGAAAAAAAAAAACTTCACCAATGTTTTACCACAAAAGTTACAACTATTGGAAAAACCTACATGTACGTCCACAATTTTTTGTTCTTTGTTTTGTTTTGATAATACCCAAATGCAACAATAAAATAGTTTGGTGGCGCGTCATGACCAAATCAAGTCTTGACTTTAAGTAAATTAGACTGGGGGCATATATTTTATATGATGAGTTGCGCTCTTTACTTTGTATGGTTGATGTGTGTATATATATATATAGATTCTCCTATCAAGACCGTATATATTTTTAGAAAATATATACTTAACGGGGCCGACGATATTAAATTATTGACTAACATGGGTAAAATTGCAATTTAAATAATATTCTTTTATTCTGCCCTGCCTTGATATTGTGATTTTTTTTTTTTGGCCGAAGGGGGAAAAAGTGATATTATGAGTTTATGACCGGATTAAGCCAAATCTTTCGTGCAGCTGCAGCGAGCCAACTAAATTGCGCCCCCCTGGTTTGACCAAGAAATGCAAGGGGAAGCGGGGAACAACGGCATATATGTGCGTGAAGAATATTTAATGCACTCCTTGACTCATCATTTTTCAGCTTCATAATAGCCAATTAGCAATCACGTAATTATAAATGAAGTTCATGAATTAATAAGCATCCGTATGAGAATTTCCAGGCCGTTTTGGGTGCTTAGTATTCTTAATTTCAATTTCAATATCACTCATTTATATGAATAGTAAATAATAAATGTGAGCTATGTGTGTTAACCATAGTTAGTTAATTCGTTGAAAATAACGCCTCTATGAAGACGAAACCAAAAACTGAACCAAATTAAATTATAAATTTGGTCTATTCGATTATACACTTTCATTTGATTTGCAAATTTCAAAATCAAATCGATTAAGCAAATTAAATTATTTATATTTTTTTTGTCCACTCATATATCTTCTTTTCATTGTGTTTTGCTGATTTTTGTTCTCATTTTTGCTTCCTGCATAATTTTTAATACATATGCATAGCATAGGTAACGAAGTAGAAATGGTCATTCTCATTTTGCAAGCCCATTTTAACATATGCATATGTGTGTGCGGCAAGGTACGTTGAACCGGACCAGTCAAACCGATCATGGCATTAGGTCATGAGTTAGTGGTTCAATTGAAGTTGAATCTGTGGCAAACTAGTCATGATTAAAATAATATAATTTAAATAAAAAGACATTAATTATAAAAACATTTAACCAAATCCAACCACTCAAAAGTCTAAGTATAATAAAATACTATATTTTTGGACTTAGCATGCTCTGCCTCTGATTTTTTATTTTTTGACTTCAATTTCACATTTTTTATCTTATTTTCAAATTTAGAGCTCTAAAAAATTAAAAATAAAAAAAAATAAAAAACGACGTCATTTCAAGGGTAAAAGTTTGAAAAAATAATAACCCGATTAACTCGGTCAACCCGATGGGTTGATCGGGTTATATCGGGTTGAACCTGGGTTGACCGAGTTACACCGGTTCACTCTCTCACCAAGTTAAGGGTAAACCCAGACTGGATAAGAGATCGGGTCACCGATTTTCGAGTTGACCCGACCGATCTGATTCAATTTTCAATACCATAGTGTGTGGGGTTTGAAATATCTATAACTGCCAATCGGTAAGGCATTTATCAATATATTCTTTTGGACAAAACAATAGATATAATATAGTTCTAAATAACTCATTACGAGCTCAATAACTTAATTAATTGATCAAATCGACCTATCAAAACTCTTGTTCAATTATATTTCAGTCTCGTCTGATTCAAATAATCACCATTGTTTGGTTGATTGGTTTTATACATTTTTACACCAAACTCAACGGAACCAAACCCACCTCTACCTCTATGTATGCTTACCAAACATACATTCCTTTACTATATTCAGTTTTTTGTCCGAGGACTAAAAATGCAGTTGTATATATAAGAAATTAGATTATAAAGCTAGAGACCACATTAAAAATGCAATAATCTTCATCCGAGACATGTCGGTTTTTCTGTTTTTCCTTGTCCACCTCAACCATTTATTAAATGATGATTACACAAGAAGACACTATTGTGCCTAAGAAGTGGACCAATGGTTCTGATGAACAGAATCAGAGGAAGCGCCTACAATGTCTTCCACAAAAGCGTCCAGGTTCTTCACAAGGGAACCACCTTTGGCAATGGCTCCGCGACACAAGATCTTAAGCTGTCTTGCCTTGTCTCTTATTTCCTTCCCCTCTTCACTCTCTGCGTCCATCGCCATCCCAAGCGCTTTCAATATCTCTTCTTTCTTCACTAACTCCTCCGATCCCTCACCACCCACCTTCCACCCATTCTTCCATTCTTTCACGATTTGCCTGCAATTCGAGAACTGATCCAGAAAGAAAGGATATCCCAGGATCGGCACGCCGGCAAAGCAAGCTTCCACAGTTGAATTCCATCCACCATGGCTCCAAAAACCCACTATAGACCTGTGGCACAAAACTTTCAACTGGTCACACCATGGCACGACCAGTCCCTTATCCCCACATTTCTCTTTCAGCCACGCTGCATCTGAACGACACGCCCATAGAAACTGAATCTCACTGGTTTTTAAAGCTGAAGCCAGTTCTTCCATCTGGGGGCGAGACATGGAAAACAAACTACCCATAGAGATGTACAGTACCGACATCTTCGGCTGACAATCTAGCCACTTCATTACATGCTCAGAGTCGGTCGCTGATGAGTCGCTTGGTGGTTCGAGTTCTGTAAATGGTATGGCAGGGCCAACAGGATAGATTCGGAAGGGGAATTTAGCTTTCAGAAAATTTATTTCCTCAGCCTCAAGCTCTTGGATCGTATTGAGGAGGAGATAATCTGTTTTGGCTACTGGTGGAATGCAATCCAAGGCTCTCTTGAAAACTCCAAAATCCTTTTCGTGAACTAGCTTCCGAAGATTAATGGGTTGTTGTGAGGAAGAGCTTCCCTGAATTTGCTCAGCTTGCTTATCTGCATCACCAACTCGTTATCAATGAAGTCAAAAGCTTCAAGTCCTAAACTATGGTTTAGATTAACATTACAGTCAAAAAATATAATAATAATAATTGACGGTGACAACGAGTTTTCTTTTTATCTTTTCTTTCTTTTTTGTTTCAATGAAACATGTGCCGTGTGGAATATACATTATCGGACCCGGTAGTGTGCACGTCGTGGTGTTCATCATTCTGATAAAATCTGAATCATTTAAATTTTAATTTAAATAATTTAAATTTTAATTTATGTAAAATACATTTAAATAGTTAATATAAATAATTATAAAAATTTTAATATTAAATTTAATTTTTTAAATTAAATCTGGATCGTATTAAAAATAAAAAATTATTAAAATTATTTTATATTTTTATATTTTTATTTTAATAAATATAATATATAATAATGTTTTAAATTTATATTATCTAAATTAAAATTTAAACGGTCCAGATCTCGTTTCAGTAATGAACGTACCAAACCCATTCCATACATTACCTAGAAGATCAACCGTCAAACGCCGGTCAGGAGCAGGGGCCAGGATATCCAGCTGACGGTACGTGCAGAAGAACGACGCCGACATGGTCCATAACAGAGCAACCGGAATATTCCTCTGATTTGCCACGGCAGTCGGCCACGTCAATTCAACATCGGTGACGATGACAGTCGGCGGCTCAATTAGCTGATGATCGAGTAGCTCTTCGAATGCAGCTCTCATCTTCGTCCTGACAGATACAGAGAAGAGAGGCATGTCGTCGAGTATCTTGGTCTCGAAAGGGACGACGTTAGGGATGGTGGCGAAGCGAATAGTAGGTGGCTTGGGGTAAGATCCGATGTGGCTGAGCCACTCTTGGGTGACGACGAAGGTGATGGTAACATCGGTGGTTCTTGAAACGAGAAATTTGCAGAGGTTCATCATGGGGTTAACGTGGCCTGTGGTGGGGAAAGGCAGGGCCACCACATGCCCCTTCAAGCGCGTCGGAACTTGGCTGGACATATCCACAAAAGCTTGTGACATTCTCGGACGACGATGAACCAATATATAAAAAAAAAGCTGAGGTTGACCAACAGTATGGCGTTTCCGCCAAGTCATTGGGCAGCGAGCGAGGGACCGACCCGGGTTCACATGGCGTGGGGCACCATCATCAGCGTCTTTCGCCAATTTTCTTAAGATAATTGTCGTTGAGATTGACCATCGTTCTTGTTTTTATAAAGGTTAGCAAAATTAAATATGTAGTATCAGAAAATCAACGCATTTGGTACATCATGAAGTAGATGCTAACACTTGTGTCAAAAGAGATCTATCTCAATTAGATATAGATGACATAATGATACTATCACAAAATGAAAAAGAAAATCATTACAGATCTCCGATAACTTCATTTATTTCAAGCCCTGGAAGAACCAAGATCGCTTCTACATTTCTTAGAGATTATCCTTGCATGTTTAACGGCTCACTTAGAAATGTCTCGTAAAAATGAATCTAGATTCCCATCAGATGATCCACCTTTTGAAATGGCTTGAACACAGAGACTCTTTAGCTCTCTTGCTCTGTCTCTTATTTGCTTCCCTTCCCTGCTTTCAAGATCCATGAATCTCCTCACTAGCTCTGATATGTCTTCTTTTCCCACAAACATTTCACCGATCTCCGACTCTGATCTATCTATTTTCCACCCATTCTTCCAGTCATTCACAATTTGACTTGTGTTGGGAACTTGATCCAGAAATAGAGGAAAAGTCAGGAGCGGCACACCAGAAAACAGAGCTTCAAGAATGGAGTTCCATCCACAGTGGCTCCAAAAACCACCTATAGAAGAATGAGACAACACCTTCAATTGGTCACACCAAGGCACCACCATGCCCTTATCACCACAATTTTCCTGCAACCTTGAAGCTTCCCCACGAGCCACACAGAAGAACGGAATGCCACTTGTGTTGAGTGCTGAAACAATTTCGTCCATCTGGGCACTAGAAACTGAGAGGAAACTACCCAGAGAAATGTATAGTACTGATTCATGTGGCTGAGAATCTAGCCATTTTAGATGCTCAAGGTTGTGATCAGAATTAGGCTTGAGTTCTGAGTACGGTATAGTGGGGCCAACAGGGTAGACAGGGAAGGGGAATGTAGCTTTCAGAGAATCAATTGCTTCAGGTTCTAGCTCATGTACTGTGGTGAGCAGAAGAAAATTTGCTTTGGGAACTTTTGATATACAATCCAATGCAAGCTGAAGAACTCGTTGGTTGTTTTCATTAATTACTGTTCGAAGATCTGCCATATGAGCCGAAGAAATTCCGGGCACGTGATCTGCTTCAACATCTTTTTTCTCAGTCATAACAACGCATATCAGGTCATACATGCGCTACTGAATAATTTGACTGAACTATGGAAAGTTTTTGTATTAATTAAATTGTACAGAAGAATGTCTATGAGAACTTCTCAGCAATCCTTATTATGAGCTAATAAGAGAGTTTGAAGAAGGATTTGGGAGACTAATGACCATTGTACAAGTACTCATCGTGTTGCTCATTGGTTGAGACATTTCACTTGATTTGGGATCATTCACACATTATATAGGTAAAATCAGATATAACGTATACAAATATTAGTAATAATTTACTTCCCCAATTTATCTTGCCTCGATGTTCTGCTACTTTCATTGATTTCAAAATATAGCACACTCGTGCTGTAAAGTGTTAGTAGCTTTGTGACCCCAAATAATTTTTTACGTCTGGATCCCAAATAAACTTATAATTAGATTTTTTTTTTCAATAAAAATGATTAGAAAAATGTTAAATCTGGAAATTATTACGAAGATGTTAGAAAAAAGTCGGAGTCACCTACAAATCTGCAGCTCACTTCAAATATTCCCGATTAATGCCTAGAATTCCCAAGAATTTTTTTTCCCGATGGATATAAAATATAAATATAAATTGTCAAAGTTCGGAATGTAATTTAAGAAGAGACAAGTGTCTCGTTTATTTACCTGGACGATCGACAGAAAACGGTCGGTTACGTGTGAAAATCTGCAGGTGATGTAACATAGAGTAAAACGAAGCCGACATCGTCCATAATACTGCCACTGGAACGTTCCTCCGATTACCTACCGCTGCTGACCACTGTAGCTCAACGTCGCCTATTATGGCTGACACCGGCGGTTCAAGTTGGTCGAGAAGCTGCTCGAACGGGTCTTCCATCTCCGTCATCACGGCTTCGTAAAACCTCGGAAAGTCGGCTGCTTTGTCCCGCTCCGACGGGATCACGTTAGGGATGGAGCTGAAGTGGATGTTATCCGGCTTCGGATCGGAGCCGATGTATCCAAGCCACTCTTGGGTGACAACAAAAGTGATGAGGATCTCGCTGGTTCTTCTAGATGCTAATATTTTGCACAGGTTCATCATGGGGTTTATGTGTCCTCGGCCGGGGAACGGCATCGCCACCACGTGGCATACTTTTGTTGGTTCCTTGCTGCCGGAGCTGTGCATTGTGACTGGCGAGTCAGGGTAATGAGTATGGTTTCCTGATTAATGATCCACTGCTTCAGAAATGGTATATACTATATAGATGAAAGCAATTTCTTCAAAAAATAAAAAAAATTACCTGCCGCACAGTCCACAGCGACGGCTTTGTCGTCCAATTCTGATTATTATATTCAAACTATATGAAAGAGATGAAGGCAGTGCTCTTTTTCTGTCCTTGTTAATTTGGCTAAGTGTCAAAAGGTAAGCTTACTTCTAAACGCCTCAAAGCACTGAAGAGCCAGTAGATTAAGGATTAACCTTTTTAAAAAAAATCAAGAATCTTTCTTTGCATTGGGTTTTGCTTATTTTTCATTTGTTGACTTCAAAAATTACAGACGCCATCAGTCCTTGTGGCAAAATTTTCTTATATTAGGGATTATAGAGAAAGGTTCTGTAGACAAAGAGAGAGAGAGAGTAATATATTATTGGGCAATGACAGAGATTGAGATCTCGGTAAATGCCATGGTGTTGGATTGAACCTTTGAAGATCCATTTGATTGTAGTTGAATAGGCTTGGAGTTCTTAGATTCTGACGTGGCCACTGAACACGTGGGTGCCTTCAAAATAGGTCAAATTGTGAGCGATAGCGAAATATTTGCTTGGCCTTTCTTAATGAGGAGTCAGGAGAGTCGATATTTGCTGTGTAGTCATTGCACGTAAATGAAGGTCACGAGCATTTGTTTCCGAGTGTCGCCAAGGCAGGCAGCTTTTACCTTGAATGCGAAAGATTGCGTGCAGCGACCATCTTGACATGACACGCTTCACTTATCATATGTAGTTATTTTACAGCCTTCCTGTTTGTCAATCCATGATACAAGATTCTCTTGAGCAATGGTCTTCAATTTCGCAATATAATTTCTTAGGAAAATTAATCATTTGACCAATTACTTTTTAAATAAGTCCCTACAATTTAAGTTCTTTCTTTTTTTTCAAAAGATTCCTTACAATCCTAGAGTTATTAAACGTTATAAAAAAAAGATCTAATCAAGTGATCCACGTTGGAAGATCTAATCATTCTTCCAATTAATTAGACTAAGTGGAAGGTGACAATTAAGTTGTAAATTAAGAAATGATTACCTTTAAACATCATAATTTGCAAATGAGACTCCATATTTGTAACTATTAGAATTATTACTTATAACTTAATTTTTTAAAAAATTAGGAACCTAACTGCTGGTAACTTGAAATTGTGATATAATTATGATTTCCCCGACAACATGAGGCTGTATGCATTCACAAAAGAGAAAGAAAGAAAACTCTAAAGTGATTTTTACGCTACTTGTTAAAATTATAACTTTTTTTATTGAATTATAAGGTTTTTATTATTTTAATTAGAAATTATTTTTAAAAGCAATTTTGAAGAACATAGAGTCAGTAACAAACTCCAAAGGGCCTAACAAGTCTTACACATTAACACGCATGGATCGTAGCAATGCTGTGCGGCAGCAAGTCTGCGTACTCTCAAGTCTTGACCCAAAAAAGAAAACAAAAGGAACAAGGCAACTTCTAATCTTCCATGACACCTGAAAATTACAAGACAATCATAAACCATGGTATCCAGGGAATGTAATAATTAATTCCGCAATCCTACTGTCAGGGCATGAATTTCTAATGAAGATTTATTTATATTAATGAATCACATCTTGGAACGGGGAGACAGTTAATGTTGCTAGCTTCATCAGGGTCATTAAACGAGGTTATCTATTTCGAAAAGCTACTTGGTTAAGAATTATCATGAACACCTTCAGGGGAAGACAGAAGGTGCAGGAAACCGTAACTCCTCTGTCAACGCAACTTCAAAATAACTGTGTCATCATAATTACGGTGACTATTATTTCACACTAAGTAGTCAGCAGACAATGAAAAAATGGCCTTCCTCTTCAAATTCATCTCCAATACCCCCCCCAACCACACACACCCCTCGCTACTATTCAAAATTTCTTATCCACCAACGGGATGGGGAACAAGAAGATCAATAGAACAATGGGCATCCGAGGTCTAACCAACCAAGATGAAGGTGTTTCCTTCACCAGGGGACTTGAGAACAACCATAGTTGCTTGCGTAAATGGAGCCTCAAACATGATTTTCCTGCAAATGCCTTCGATTATTTTCCCTGAGAGTTACCAACCCGACTGAACTTGCTTAGATCTTCCATATAATCAAAGCGATTATTGGTCAACAGTACTCTATCAGGGGAGGTACTAGCTTTTCTCTTGCGGTTGCCTGACTTGGGTGAGTGAAGTTCAGAGCCGATGTCGTCAAGTGCTGATAACTCCCCTTCTTCATCAGTAATCGGATCAGGTTCAGATGATGACAGACTCTTTTTCCCATGATGATGCTCATCCGCATGATGTTGGTGCCTTCCATGCAGCACATTCCCATTATCTGATCCATCTGAGGGCTTGGACAGTTTTGCCTCCGGTCCTGCTTGTTCTTTTCACTCTGAGCAGCCAGCTCAATCCCATCCTCCAGTTCCCTCTCAATGAGGTCGTCATCATCCATAACCTCTGTTTTGTTAGTTATATGACCAGACGCTTTGCTTCGTTTCTTGAGCGCAGCCTTTACCTTGTCCCTGTCAATTTTTTTAGTAACTTCCTTAGGTGGTCGACCAAACGCACTATCTCTATGATCTGGATTTCTGTTGGCATGTCTAACATTCAACTCAGCAGCCTCCTTCATTTCATTCCTCCCAACATTGCTTTCTTCTCCTTCACCATAACCTGATCGAGATCTCGACATTTCTTGAGCTTCTTGCAAGTTTTCCTTGTGCAGCAGGATTTTACCCTCAAGATGATCATTACCCTTGGCTTCAGCTTCTACCCTGGGTCTCATTTCTGTGCCCCCATAATCACGGCTTCTGCCATGGTTAGATGCAGGGTGCTCAACATGATTAGCAGGCGACTCCAACTGTGTCTTAGAAGCTCCAGGCTTTGAAGTCTCAAGTCTAGACCTCGTAGCTCCAGTACGACAATTACTGTTTGTGGTTGCATTTTCACCATTGCTAGCAGGATTTTTTGCAACTGCCCGCTGAGTGGCCCCACTTCCTGTAGCTCCTTCAACATCATTCAAAGGTGGCACTCGGTTTTGTTCATACAGCTCCAACATTTGATTACTAACTTCTGCAAAAAGAACAACACAATTGGATCTTTCACAATGGCAAAAAAAAAAAAGAAGAAGCCTAAATAATAAAACAAAATCAACTATTAAATTGATTGCATCAGGCATCAGCTCAAACTGTGCTTTCTACAAGATGCATCAGTCCAAGCACAGGATTCTTATTTGATTGAACGCTAAAATTCTTGAATACAATCGTAATCAACAAAAGATAAGAGGCCAAAGAAAGATAGAGAAGAGGTGGTAGTACTGTTTTCCATTTCTTTATCCCACACCCACTAATACTTTAAAAAAAAAAAAGGCACCAACCCTCCAATTGCCGAGGGGTAACATCAAATTCTTGCCACCAGACCTTCTCCCCATCTGATGGGAGCTTCACCTTAAGGAAACTTGGCAGCAAGGAAAATAGCTCCTGCTGCAACATGATGGGGCTTGAATTGCAAGCAAAGGGGTGTCCGAAGTCTGCATACCACATCCTAATTTCAGGGAAGGAAAATATAAAGGCATTGAACATAACAGATGGGATCATCATCATACCCATCGTTCACAAAATTCCATGCAACTTGAGCAAGGGCATTTTGCGCAACTTGAAATTTCTTAATAGCCTCGACAAGGGGTTTATAGGGATGGTGCAGATTAAGATCAAAGGCAAGAGTTTGAAGAACTATCCTCTCTCCAGCTAAGATTAGTTCTTTCTGCTGTTCATACACCTCCTGCACCGCAATGGGGAAGTACAAAGATATTGCAAGAGAGAAAAAAAAATTAATAAATAGAGCCACATCACTGGAAGTGGAACATGAAGAAAAATTCAGAATAAATTTGGAGGAAATCGCCAAAAAACCAAATAAAATGTGTTAAATAATAAACACAAATCCAGTCAATTTAATTTTAGTTTCAATTCGCGTGTCAAAATTGATGCATGCATCAACCTACTTGCAGAAGCACCAAGTATGAGGACCCTGGACCCCTCGAATGGGAAATTGAAGGTACAAGATGAGCACATACGATCATTAGGGAAAAGAAAAGACAGGTGCTTAAATCAAACAAATTTACTTAAAACCTTTTAAAATAGGCAAATTCAATAATAAACGAAGAGATTGACTGATATGAAAGAACATCGAAAACTTAAGGGACTTCAAGATAATACCCTCTGTCTGATTCTTTGAGCTGCTAAAGGGTCCTTCTTATTCATAATTTCATATGAAACAAGAATTACATCTTTCATAGGGCGAGGAGTTTCTTCAACCTTCCCAGCAAGGAACATGCATACTGTTGCAATGACCTGTAGACCAAGTTGTTAATTACCATCATTATCATTATTCCAATAAATATTCTATCCCATGCATTATATTCCCCTCAAACAAGAGGAACACAAACATCAAATAGCATGAAAAACAACAAGATTGTTATGACTAGGTGCACAGACATATAAGACCAAGTTATTGAATTCTTCAATGATATTATGCCATCTATATCGTATAGAATAGAATAATATCAAATTTCTATCATTCTGCGTCATAAGGATAGCGAACTCAAGACCTATACTTTTTATTCTTGCCCCATCTGGGGAAACAGTGGATATAATCAGATCAAGTTTTAACTTTTAACCCAACTACACAGGCCTTACAATACTAATTATGGTCAACCTCAAGCAACCCTGCCAATTCATATTTACTCATCACATCGCAGACTATAAATATCCTTCTTTTACGACACTGCACATGTAAAACCATCTTAAGCAAGCCTCCTCCATGATCAGGCACTTGAAACGCTTTCCCTATAAGTTATCTTCTATTGATGCATTTAATAATTGATACTCAATCTCCTACCTTATAAGAGCAACCATAATGGCCATAAGTATATTTTTAAAATTCAACACAACTGGAGCTTCTTCATCATACAAACAAAAGCAAGTGTTGATCTTGATTTAGCATGTTTCAAATTGGTATCATGAATCCCTGACCAAAATTTTAACATCACATAAATCTACATCATTCAATCTTATCTAGAATTACTCATCTACCCTCCACTTCCCTTTATGCTCTCTCAAAAGTTTCTACGCCCATTTTAAGAGCCCGTTTGAATCAAAATGGGATAAGATGGGGAATGGGTATAAAAATGCTTTCTCCCATAAAAATGGGAAGCACTATATTCATAAAGTCACTTTGCTTGCCATCTACCCAGCACAATAAAAATACTTTCCCTCACGTTTTCCTTTTGCCCAAATCCATTTTCAATGTAACAAATGCAGCCTCAAGTCCAAACCCTATATAATACCCTAGTCTTTCACAAATAAATTCTGTCTACTTGAATCTTCCAGGCCATGTTTGGTATGATGGAAGAGTTTTAATGGAATCGGAATCAGAATTGAATCGGAATTGGAATTGGAATTGGGAATAGAATTGGATTTTAAAAGTGTGTTTGGTATGATGATGGAATCCTGATATAATTTTAATAAAATATAAGTACTTAATAAGAAAAAGACTAAAGTGTCCTTTTTAAATTACAAAAAATATATTGGAGGAGAGAGAAGGGGCAAATTGGAGAAAGAGAACCATGGAATTGGATTCCATGATGCATATGATGGAATTGGATTCTGCCAAATTTCCTTGAATCCTGATTCCAAAGAATCATAATTATTGCATACCAAACAAACAATGTTAACAGATTCCATGTCCAATTCCATTTTTTTCTCGTGATTCCAAGCTACCAAACGGGGGCCCTATTTCTCTGTGCCAAGGGGTTGCATTTCATGATATTAATTTCTCGTACACAAGTATAGATATTCAAATAAAGAGCCAAGGAGTGTTCTCTTCGAATGCTTGAAAGTGAGACAAATTATGGACCTAAAAGGGAATATAATTAATTGATTCACTAAGAGAAAATAAGGGATTCATATTATCGAAGCCAACTGGTAAGCTGAGCAATGAAAAAAAAAGAAAGAAATAGCACTAACTAATGTACATAGTTTCTGCTAGTCCTGTTCATTTATGTCCATATCCTTCTCATGTTTTGATAAATATAGGTTGCTTTGGAAAACTACCGACAACACTACCTTGACGGTTATGGATCTAAGAGATATTCCCCCCCCCCCAAAAAAAACATCCCAATGATTTTGAGGGTGCCTGCTTATGGTGTAAACTTTTCAAACAAGGTTCAACAAACAAAACCGTTGACTCTATGAAGGGCAAATCTATGATGCCATGCCTGCCAATCAATGGTCCTACTGTGCTTATAAAATCAGCATCACATAAAATATTAATTCTATAGGGATCCCATTCTATTCATAAGCCATAAACAAATTTATGTTCTCAAACTTCATGCAGTGTTTTTTTCCCCCAATTCCTACAATCTTACTCCACATACTACATTGGGCTCAATACAAATTTTTTATTTTAATTTTTATCCATACATGTCATTGGGCTTCATACATTCTTATTCTTGCTAGTTTGGTTTGCATGCAGAAATAGACCAAGTTATATTAAAAGAAGAGATTTTTATTTAAAGTTCAAACAGATATAACAATAACAACAGGCAAGTTATTATGTAAAAAATAAAGACTTACCCTCCTATCGTTCTTTCCAAGGGAATGATGAAGGAAGAATCGGTGGCAAAAAATTATTGCCGTAGCAATGGTTACCTGAGGTCTGCATCAAAAAATAAGGATTGAGTCAAAGGATTAATATCAAGATGAATTATGTTACAAATCTTCATTACTATCAGTGATAAGCATAACATATTTCAGCTAAATTATTGGCAGTATAAACATATACTGAATTGCAGACACTTTGGGATGTGCAAAATGTAAGCTGCCCCCTGCTCCTGTAGAGACAAAGGCACTGCTGACATAGCCCTATCTTCTGCATAATTTAGGCTTCCATTTGACTTTGGGTCACTTCAGAGTTTAGACGGCTCACAAAACAATTCAATTCCTCTAAGTTCACAAACAATGGCCTACCTCTAGTCTACCAATCAGTGCACTGGACAAATCAGCTTCAAACAAAACAGGGTGTTGCCAAACTCTTTCTAATTATTAGATTAGAAAGTAAAAGCAATAGGGAGCACGGCTAAATTTTGTTTAATGAGAAAAATATGGTTTGAAATTTAACTTAATGATTCCCTGTCTCCCACAGTTGCAAATATTTTCTTCCAATTCTTAGCAATAAAATCTTTTTTTCTATCAATAAAGAATGCCAATGCCAATATCTCAGTTGACCAGAGAGAAAAAGGAAAGAAAGTGAGGTATTATAAATCATAAACTGATTCCCAATGCATCTGCGAATAGACAGATAACTAATGTTTAAAAATACAGAAAAACTCACACTTCAAGTCTCATGCCTATATCTTGTAGAAATGTGCAGTATGACTTGCGTAAGTAGGTCTCCTTCTTCCAATCTATACCATCTTTCTTGGATGGTGACATTTCTTCAATCTCCTTCCTAGTAAAATACCAGCAAGGTGCAGCACCATCCTTTGGCATCTCAGGGTGTATCTGAAAACCATGTGTTCCATTTTGAGAGATATCACCAGGCAAAAACCCAGCCATGAGTTCACAGATGACAAGATTTACTTCGAATTTGTTTATATGTGTTTAGTTCCCGAACGTGACGATCAAGAATGGAAATCCAGTTGTTCCCTGTCCATTAATTACAATGGTGAGCAAAAAAATTAATGTGATATGCAACACAAAGAGAGAATATCCTAAATGATGTCAGGAAAACAAAATCCTAGCATACTGTGTCTTACAATTCATTATCTCCTTCTATAAGCAGACATTTTTTGATATAAAACTATAGCCGACTGACTTCAAGAATTTTCTCACCATCGAGAGTTCAACATAATTCTTTTTTTTTTTTTTTTAACGAGTTCAACATAATTTGAAAAATGCGATGTTCATATATGATCAGTTCTTGGACAGACAGTTTTGGCATTAGATAGATTAGCAGTCATATGCTCAAATAACCGTTCAAATATGATCCCTTAAAGCCATTATTATCAGTTCTCATTATGTCCCAAAAAAAACACTCACGAGTCTCGACACTAGGAAGTCGTGAAAACACCATCTAACAAAAAATACTTTGCAATAGAGAAGTTGAAGTTCCCATTGAAACAGAATTCCAGTGTTTGAAATTGCAACTCTCTCTCACGCCAAGCTCTCCAGAGTCCCATAAAGAACGAGCTCATGTGCTCCACCAGATAAAAGAAACAATCAAGTTGTACCACCAAATCTGTAAGGATTAATAAAAATAATTTCAAAAGCAATGTCCAAAGTAAAATTTAACCGACGATCAAAACCCTAATTTGCCATCAATTTTTCTTCGAAATAATATAACTCAAGTACAAAAGCAAATGGACGCGTGCAATGATAATAATATAAATATAAAAACATTACCGTACAGGAGTCCGAGAAGAATTTGTTGAGTGCGATACGAATTCAAACAGCCAGCAGTGATCCAAAATCTAAAATCAAGACGCTCCCTTTGCCAGAGAGAGGGGGAGGAATTACTCTGACGAAGCAGAAAATCAAAGAATAAGAAGCATTATATTGAATTTTAAATTAAGGTTTACAGAAGCGCGGCAAAGATAAATCAAGCAGACGGGCGAATTTATTTTTTAATTATGCAAATTTCTTTGCTCCTGTGAAAGTATTGCAACTGCTGTTTATCGCATCGTATAATATGTAACAATCGAAAAGTCGTTACTTTTAATATTTATCCGTGATAGAATCACAGAAGAGGACAATAACCACAACTCGTCCCATTACAATAAGATAGTCTAGAATACACATCAATAGTGTCAGGTATCATACAATCACTTCCCTATTTCCAATAGATTATTGATTGATTATACAGAAACATTGATAGACCAAAACATAAGAAACTTTCCAGAATGTTTATATTATAATGACCAGAAAAAATTTTCTTTTTGCCTAAAATAATGGCCAGAAAGATCAAATGAGTGAATGCTACCCTAAAAAAGACGCAGGTTTTCGTTTCCAATCCCCAATATGCAGATTTCATGGGAAGGTTTTCACCGGTCGTCACTCGCACCGTCCTCCTCACTGTCGCCACCAGTTGCCTTCAGCAACGCAAGTGATTCGTCGATGGTTTTGGTCGATGAGGTAACAGCATGGCTTTCAGTGGGAAATGAATAAAACCGTCATAATATTTGCTAGGTGAGGATAGAATTGTCATGCAATTTTTTATTCCACGGATCACTATCCGTGTCCACCGGGAAGTCTTTGCCGGGATTTTCTTATTAATGGATTTTAAGAATCCGAATTCTTTTTTTGACCAGCAGAATCCGAATTCAAGATCAAGAGTACCAAACATACTTATACTATGAATCATTTTAATTCTCCTGAAATAAATATCCTTAATAATGCTTAGAAATTCTTCCTTAACTGACCGAATGGTGAATTTTTCTCTACTACCTTTTCTCTCCATTTTCTTTCTACTACATTAAAATTGTATCTGTTGTTTTTAAAATTGTTAAATTTAAATTATCAAATATAATTTAATAATTCAGATTATTCCTTCCTCTCCAATCAAAGAGAGTTCTTTGACTTGAACAGTCTCGGCCACAAATATCCTTGCTACGCAGAACATCCTTAATAAATGCATTGAGATTATTTACCGATGTTCCCCCTTCTGCAATCGCTCTTCTGCAAAACCTTGAATTTGTTTTGCTCTTCTCCTTAGCTCATCATGTTCCGTACTTTCAGGGTTCATAAACCTCGCTACAAGCATTGATATTTCCTCCCTCGTCACAACATTATCAGCTCCTTTGCGCTCTCTTCCTCGCCATCCAACTTTCCAATCCTCTACAATTTGCTTACCGTTGGGAGTCTGATCAAAGTATATAGGGAAAGTAAGAATAGGAACGCCAGCGAAAGTTGCCTCTAAAACTGAGATCCAGCCACAATGGGACAAAAATTCCCCTACAGAAGAATGGCACAGAACCCTCAATTGTTCACACCAAGACACAAAAAGCCTCTTGTCCCGGAATCTTGCTTCCACCATGAGTTGTCTCCGCGAGCCTCCCACAAGAATCTCACACCACTTTCCTGCACGCCTGCAACAATTTCCTCCATCTGCATACTTGAAACAGAGAGATGGCTCCCTAATGATATGTACAGAACAGAGCCTCTTGGATGAGAATCTAACCATTCCATATAGTTGGGGCTATGGCCTTCTGTGCGACGGTCGTTATTCATGTCAAGGAATGGGATTGCAGGGCCAACGGAGTAGACAGGGAAAGAGTATATGCCTTTAAGAATATCGATGACTTGGGTTTCAAGCTCGTAGATGGAATTCATGAGGAGATACTGCGCTTGTTTGACCCTTGATATGCATTGCAAGCTTAGCTGCAATACTCTGTTATCGTTTCCGTGGAAGATAGCGGGTAAATCTACGTTCTTGTTGAGGAAACTCCAGGGATATTCTCCACGCGTTCTTCTCCATGCTCTGTGAGTGTCAGTCAAACCATTGTGAATCAATTACCTGTTATTAGTGTCGAAGTTCTTTAAATTACGGAGCCTGCCTGACAAATTAATTCCCAGATGTTCATTTTGGCGAAGGAGATGAAAGTGGAGGAACATGGAAAACACTGATGCAGAACTGGTCCAGAGAATAGCCACCGGAATATTCCAGCGATTGGCAAGAGGGACAGCCCACTGAAGTTCGGCTTCAGCTATAATAAGGGTCACGCGCGTCTGAATTTTTGAAGGAGATCTTCAAAGGGAGCTTCCATTTTTGTCATCACAGCCTCATAGAACCCAAGGAAGTTGGAGCCACGGACTAGCTCAGACGGGAGCACGTTGGGAACTGTGGAGATGGTTAGATTATTGGGCCTGGTTTGATCGGAGCCGAGTAAGCCCTGCCGCTCTTCTGTGACAACAAAAGTTATGAGAATTTCTTGGTCATGAGATGCCATCAGAGAAGCTAGAATTTTACAGAGGTTCATCATTGGATTGGCATGGCCTCTTCCCGGATACGGCACCGCCAGCACGTGGTACGCCATAGCTGAGTTTTCTTCGCCAGACCCCTGACCTTCAAGTTGAGTGTCCTGTGGCTTCTAAGTTCTGAAGTCTGAACTGAGTTTGCTTTGTCTAATTGAAACAATGGTGTTCGTAAATTTCCTATCTTTGAGAATAAGATAATAAATTTGGTCGGTTTTTTCTCTTGGCATGCTCATCTTAACTCAATTCATTGTTCTCTCTTATTTTAAGAATTTTTGTCAGAAGACTGCACATTTTTAAATTAGAACATGACAAGCTCGTGATTTTTTTAATAACAAGAAGCAATTGAGTGAATCGTGGGCTTGTTTTATATCATTACCAGATCCATGATGGATTTATAAGGGGCTAGTACTTGCAGTAAAATTTATTGGACTCATTGTTTGCCAATTTACTGAGTGACAAACAATTATTCGATATTAACTGCAAGAGTTTATACATAACAACACCTGTCATGAAAATACAGAACAAGTGACTGAACTGTAACTTCATCATCCTTATTTGACCCAACCACACCACCACTAGATCCAATCCATGTAAACACCATCACCACCAGAGCAGTGCCCAAATGAGAAATGATTTAGATTCAGAGAAAGCCCTTGCTCTTCAAGCTTTCAACAGCATCGGTGATGATTTGCTCAATGGGGGTGAACGTCATCCCTAGATTAATTAACTTCTTAGAAGCATCCTTGGCTCGGAGCAAGCCAGGCTGAGTGTCCTGGGGCACCTTGGCCACATTATAGTCAGGGTACAATTCAGCCACTTTTTCCACAAAATCACCGTAGTGACGAATGGCTTCCACGCACAAGTGCCTTCCAGAAGCCTCTTTCTTCTCGAAGGCCAAGACATGAGCCATGGCGACATCCTTAAAGTGCGCCATGCCCATGAAGAAGTCCTCGTAGGTCTCAGTGTCCCCTGCAAATCCATCAAACATCAATTAACATTACAGTTATAATGTGAAAGCACTGAGGGTGGGTGAACAGGAAAAGCCGAGAAAGAAAACCTTTGAGAACACCAAGAAGGACGGCCATGCTTGCATTGACTCTTGAGGGGATGAGAGGGCCTAAGGCGGTGCCCGGATTTATCATAACGACGTCGCAGCCCGTCTCCTTAGCAAATTGCCACCCAGCTTTCTCCGCCAGCGTTTTTGCTATCGGATACCACAGCTACACGCATTTCCAAATCAAAATCAATCTCTCAGCGATTATTTATATATAGAAAACATATCTTTATTTTTATTAGGAGAAAAATATTTTTTATTTTTCAAAACGGACAATATTTCCTGCTACCAGGTAGAAATTTTCAGAATAATTGGTTTCTTCTCAGCCACTGAATTTTTAACATTGGAAAAGAAACGCATACACTGTCCTTTTATATTTTCAGAATTTTTAATAGTAAAATAAAAGGTATGCTAAAAAGATATGCATTTATTAAAAAATCTAACAACAAAAATATTTAGGAGAAGTCGAAGTTTGTGTATTATTTCTTTTCTTTTTTATATTAAGTTTGTGCATTATTTCATCACCAAGGAAAAAGTATGAGGGGAAGAATCAAAGAGAAAATTAAACTTTTGAAGAACATTAAACACGGGTCTTTCCTTCGTTGTTTTTTCACTTCCCTTATTTTTACTATTTATATTAATTTCATAAGGCCAAAAAAAAAAAAAAAAAGGAGAGACCCTCTGCCTAAAAGCTGACGAAGGAGAAAAGAAAGAAAAGAAAAGAAGTGAAAGAACCCACTCCCTTGCGCTTGCAGTAGTCAAGGTCGGTCCAGCATTCCTCATCTTTGATCCTGTCGGAAGGCCAGCCGGGACTCGGCATGATCGACGATATCGACGACGTTGCCACCACTCTCTCCACCCCGGCTTCTTTAGCTGCCTTCAGCACGTTCACCGTCCCTTTCGTCGCCGGCTCCACTATCTGCTTCTGCTCACCCCCAACAAAAAACCAAAAGCCACGTCACCACACACCCAAAAATAATATCAATCAAAGCAGTATGGACTGCGTAGAGCAGTATTGTTATTTTGTACCTCTGGATCCTGAACTTGACCGATGATGTTCGGACACGCCAGGTGGAACACGCCCGCGCAGCCCTCCACGGCGGCCTTGATGGAGTCCATGTCCAGAAGATCCATCTCGAACAGATGCAGTCGACTCTTCGCTCCTTCCATCGCCTCCAAATGCTTCGTCTCATTGTCATCGTCTGTTTTCTTTCGTTATTAGTTACTTAATACTTCAACTAATTATACATGGAGTTGTATCACATGAACCAGAAACGAGATTATATCTTAGTGGCGTTCACTTTCCTGTACCAGAATCAGTATACGTGACGTATTTCTTATGGATGCATGTTGACGTGTGTGTGTGAGATCCCGGGGAAGAAAACAGTGAATATTAAAGTGGATAGATGAAACGATGTAAGGAAAGAGTGTAACTGAGATCTTGGACGGTGGCATGGACGGTGTAGCCGCGTTCGAGGAGGAGGCGGACGACCCATGATCCGATGGCGCCGCTGGCTCCGGTGACACAGACAACCTTGGACATGTTAATAAATGGAAATAACTAACAACAATACAGCGAAGTGGGAGTGTGGCGTCGCTGGTTTGATGGTGAAGGCTATAGTTGGAAACGGTTGGTGTATATAAAGAAGGAAAAGGCTAAGTGCGGGGAGGCCGCGGGACTGATACTTAACTCTGGCAGGAGAAAATTCACTGTTGGGCCACAAGGTAGGGGTTGCTTTCATTTCGTGAGTGCGACGTGGATGATGTGCTTTTTTTTTTTAAATTTACGTTTATCTTTGCAGTATAGTTTATATTTAATTATGTATATTATGTGCATTTTTAGTCAAATACGCACATTCAAACCCCTAATTTTATATAAAAAATTTTTAGGTCATTTAATTTTATAAAATACTCCTTTATCTTATATATTAGTTATATTCTAAAAAGATAATATGGTTCACTTTATAAGCTATTAGATGATGAAATTATTTTAAATTAAAACTTTCAAACTACTTTAAAAAGTAAAATATAAGAAGACAGAAAAATAATACCATATTGTTTGTTTACTTTTTTTTCTAACTTGAGAATTATATTTTGAATTTTACTTACTTCCGTTTCTTATATTTTTGTTATATTAGTAATTGATAAAATTAATAAAAATAATTTATAGATAGGATAGAGTATCCTTTTAAGTTTCCAACTTGACATCAGTACACCCAAACATTGTATGGGTTATTATCTTTAAAAATTAAGCTTAATATGTAATATTCAAAAAAATATTTATCAATTTTTAAAATTTCATGCGCACTAATGCATTTTTTTAATAAATATGAGAAATCCAAGCTATTCATCACTTATGTTGCAGGGCTCGAGTCCAGGGGGAAATGGCAGCATCTCAAGAAAAACGCGTGTTTATTGACAGAAAATCGGGCCCTACTCTTTTTTTTTTTTGGAGGAAAATATCAAAATAAGAATGCTAAAATAAAAACGGTTGCATGTTAAAATAGTAAAATACAAAAAGATAAGCGAAAGTGGAGGGGGAAAAAAAGGAAGGAAGGGGGGGGAGGAACAGAACCAGTTGGTATATTAGATTCCAAATCCGAGTCATGACAGAACAGACAGTCACCTGGCGGGAGAAGAGGGGTGGGACGAATGACCGTCAGTTCTGCAACACGTGTTTGGGATATCATCTCTGTTATGTAGAGTTAACAAATGAGAGCATGACACCATTGTGCCATGTAATGCATTGATATCCTACTAAAATTTGGTTGAGCTGCGTTACAGAGCAGAGCCATGTGCGTGGGTCACGCACTGTCATAGACATGCAGGGACTCACTTGTCACGGCGAGTTGATTTTGATCGATGGGCATGGGAAGTAATGACCTTTAAAGCATCATTCTGAATTATTCACCTATTTACAAGAACCATTATCAATGGGTTAGTTCTATTTAAAATTTTGGACTCGGGGAGAGAACAATTATACGTATGCACGCTCACAAATTAACACCAAAAAAAAAAATATATTTTCAGGGGGTACGTATGTATTACAAAGAAGTTACCAGCGCAGCTCCAAATATTAGCACCTCATAATACATAACAAATTAAAGGGGGCAGCGTGGATTATTATCGTTGTTGCCGCGAGTTGCGGGTATTTCTAGACTATATTAATCTTTTTTGCAAAAAGTGATGCCACATTTTAGAGGTGAAAAATCCATTCCAATTAAATTCATGTGAGTTCATAAAAAAATTTAGCACTATTATACATTAACTCACAATCTCAACCCATGAGTCGCTTTACTTAATGTGACTGTTCCTTATTCCAACTCTATCTGTACAATCTCAAAGCATGAGTCCTTTTGTTTATATAACTTTTTCACCCTTTTCACGTGAAGTGAAACTGAAATCCATTCATGCTTGATATCCTATCGCATATTGAATATTCAACTCTTTTCATGGGACGGGCATCATCCATAATAGAGAGGGATGGGAAGAATAATACTGCTGCTGAGAGAAACGTTGGCTCAAAAAAGAGTGGTTGATTGGGGAAGATATTTTGAGTCCTCCACGAAGCTTTTAAGCATATCCATAATTTCCTTAGATTGTCAAGAAATTATTAAGATCTTTGGTGGGCAATAAAATTTGCCGGAGCCCCTTCAATTCTTCCACATTCATATTCAAAACAAACGTAAATAAAGCCTGAAAAAAATCAAATGTCATTTTGACTCCGACTGAGGTAGTCTTAGCAGCAGCAATTGCGGCGAGGAGGGTTTTCGTGCACTTAAAAAATTATTTTCTACTGAAAGTCTTAATCTTTTTTAAGAATTTCAAAGCTCACTAATTGTTGAGTGTAAGATGAGCTCTCACTAGCTAACTTACCCCAACCTTGTAAATTGAAAGCGTTAAATACTTTAATACAACGATAAATATTGCAAAATAGGAAAGTAGAAGCCTCGAAAAAACAATTGTGATGTTGACATTGGTACTGGCAGGTCTGGCACCGGCACTCAATAGCCCTAGTCTAAGAACAACGAGGAGGGACTTCTTCGTTCGCTCAAAAGAGATTTTTTTCTGCTAAAAATCACAATCCGTATTTAACAATATGAGAATCATAATTGCTTGAAGTGTAATTAAAAAGTGTTGGATGTTCTAGAAATGTAATTTTGGAATTGAGGGTGACGGAGGAAGCACGACCACGGAAGAAGATATTATAATATGAGGAAAGAGTGGATGAAATTGGAAACCCAATGAGAGAGCGATTCGTGCACTCGCTGTCTCCACCAAAGTGAATCATTTGTTAGCGGTACAGGCAAATAGCGGGAAGCAGGGGGCCCATCTGGCGTCACATCTTACTCCACCTGCCTCTCTCACTAGCCGCCACGCCACCATGCTCATGCAAAGGCTGGCCCTACTGCTTTTTATTTTCTGTTTTTCATCTTCCCCCATGCATTGACTTGGTCCCACTCTCATCTTTTTTTCTTGTTGAATCAATTTGATATTTTCATTTGCTGCCATGGCACATCATCCTTCCCTGTCAGGACGATATCGACCACCGCGAATCTCTCAGTTTTTCGGTGAAAAAACAAGTGACTTTTACAAATAAAATACATTTGTGAGGTCAAACTAAACAAACAATTTATTATTTATCATATTTTATATTATAATTAATTTATTATATTTTTAATATATAATGATAAATTTTTTATATATCAATAATAAATCACTTGTATGCTGAATGGACCACATAATTAAATTTTAAAAAAAAAATTAATTCATATTTTTTACACACATATTTTTTTTGGCCAATAAGCTATTTCATTCAAAAAAAAATTGCCCCACTTTCTTTCAAGAATGAAGCATTTTTAAAAAATTAGAATATTTTAAAATTGTTAACATTATCAGGATTAAAAAATTATTTTAATAACTTATTTGAAATAACTTTTAAAATAATTAAATACGATAAATAAATGAGAATGTCAATAAAGTATAAAGATGTACAAGTGTGGATATTATACTGTAATTTTTTTATAAATTAAAATAAATAAAAATTTGGAATTAGACTAATAGATATCCATTGTGAATTTGTTAGGATTATTTACAAAGACAGATTGCGGCAATCTGGAATTATTTTTTTCGTATGATTGGACTATTGTGCGAATTCAAGTTTTGATAGATTGTTCGAAGAAGAAAACGGTTTTGAAGGATTTGTGTTAGAGTGTGGTTGGGCTAGCCCATGGTACAGAAATGGAGTTAAGAGGGCTCAGTCTATCTTCCCATTACGTTCAACACATGAACCCAACTTAGTGGGTTACGGCTTTCATTTTTAGCAGCTGCCTCTGTGGATCCCACAACATATAGCACACATTTTTTTGAAAAAATATTTCCAACCTGGCTAGCTCTTCCTTCCTCGTGGGAATGAAAGATTCATATACTCACGCACGCCAACATGTTAACAGCAAGCTTAAATTCGGAACTTAATCCGAAAAAGGAATGTGACGCTGTTACTGAAACTGTTAGTCGTTGACATAGCATGTATCACACATGCATGTATATGAATCAAAGTTTTCAAAATGTTGGGTCAGTCTTGTCTCTTATTGTCGTACATGTATGTGGAAATATCTTTAATTTGGCTGTTGCTCTTTGAAGATGTACATTTTTTAACGGAATAAATATACAATTCAAAACAACTTTTTATTGCCGCCTAACTTTTTGGTGTATAACATAACATTCATAAAAAATAGGGTTTTTTTAAATATCACTCAAATGAATAATAAATAAATAATAATAGATAATGTGCTTTTATATTAATATCAAATAAATATTTAATAAACAAATAGTAAATGAATATGACAGATAATTGATGAGAAACTCAAATATTCTAGATAATTTTAAATTTATAGTATATTGATTGAAATTAAATGTAAACACATTTTTTATTTGTTGGTAAGAAAGAACTTTTTATTTTTATTTTTCTAAAATAATTGTTACTATAAGCTATGCTAGTTATAGCTGCGCATGTCACATTCCTCAAGATAATTGCCCAATTACTCTTTTTTTCCCTGTTACGTACTCGACGTCTTATACTTTTTTTTATATTAAGACAAGTTAACATAAACATAGCATTATACAAAAAAAACTAAAGAGATAAACTATATATGAGATAAAAAACAATTCTCCTGACCAACTTGAAAATAATTAATGTTAAAATTTATGGAACAATTAAAGATAATAATATTAAGTATAATGCGACTTGAAAAGATCAGGCTTGTGGAAAACTATCCTAATCCTTCCTACCCTCACAATGTGGGGGTGAGATTTGAAAGCAATGTGAGGACAGGAGGGGACAGCGTGGTTCTCCATGCCAGGAGAGAACCCTTGCTGACTTGAAAATTTTGCTAAGGATGTTATTAATTTGCACAACATATTAGATGTATAACATGTTGTGCACAAAAGAATTAATTAATCAATAAAATAACAGCCATCAAGTAATGGAAAAGAAACTAAGATGCATCTTGGGACTGTTTTCTCACAGACTTGTTGGGGAAACAAAAAAGGTTGAGAATGGAAGGGGGTTGCAAAAGGTCGAAAAGTTTTTATCTTTTTTTTTTTTTTTGTTAAACTTCTTAAACCAAATT